AGGAAATTGGGATGCTGCAGGCTCCCCTGGACCCAGAGATTATTTCTGAAACCATGGCACAAGCCACAGACACTCACAGTGGTGGTCACTAGAACAGCGAGCACCTCTGGCAGACAACCAGCCTCCAGCAACATGCCAGGGCTTGCACTGGCCCAGCTAACCCAGTGCTGTACACGACAGAGGCCAAAGAGATGAAAGGACAGGGCAAGCATCTAGTGATACTTCCCTGGAAACTCTCCTGGCTTCAGTTACAATTCAGTCTAGGTGAGATGCAAGTGTTTAATACACTTGCCTGGATATTTCAAAGGGACTTGTCATTGACAGAGGCTGAGGGCTACACATGTCCCACAGAGCAGACATCCCACCAGCTTCAAACCATTCAGCCCTGCTCAGGGTTATTTGTTTTCCTCTCAAATACTGGGCAGGACACAGGTAATTTCCGATGGGGACACTCGGACTAGATGAAGCCAAGTGAACGTTAGCTCACATCAGTACTCCTGCAGGATGGGTTTGGGGGCAGGAGATGGGAAAAGCAAGGTGCTGAGCACTGTGGCAAGGCCCTCTCCTACTCTCGGTGCCCATGGAGGGCTGAGCTCTTTGAAACCTGGCTGTGAGCCCTTGCTTGTATGGCTCCTGCCCTACCAGGGCTGCAGAGCCGAGAGAGGATTACCAGCATGGAGAGCTCCTTGAAGGCAGGTGAAGTGCAGTTGAAGAGATCTGGCTCCAGCCAGCCCTTCTCCTCATCACAGTGTCTGATGGCTGCACCTAAAACCGGGAGGAAGGGCACATCTGAAATTCAGCACAGGATATGCGCCTTCCCCACTGCTTACCCCCAGCAGGGACCCTCTGCACCAGCTAACCCCAAAGAGCAGCACCAGCAGTTGATGGGGAGGGCCTGTAACATCCCAGGGCTGTCCTCCTGCTTTGCACCAGTGCAACCCATTCCACCCTTGGTCAGCATCACCTCAGCAAGCTGCTCCTGCCCCCTCCCTCCAGGAGCCGGGTTCCTATGTGCTTCAGGGCTGCATCGCACCAGGTGCCATCACACAGAATTGCAGAGGAATACGTTATTTGGCAGGGCTCAGGCTGGAGAAGCCCCTGGTTCCTGGTGGGGACGTGTCTCTGTCTTTGGGGCACATCTGACCCCGAAGCCCTGAAGCCCATGCAGCTCTAGGCATCCCCCGGCTGACAGCCTGCAATGCCTGCTGCGGTCCTTCCTGCCTCTCTCTGTAGGGCAAAGTCACCCCAGGAGGACAACACCCCGGCTGTGGGACTGGCAAACCTGCCCCAGAAACGAGCCCCTGCAGTCGGGTGGGATGGAGGAGCCCCCATCCAGCAGTGTGGGTCCAGTACCCAGCGCAAGACCCCAGTCCCTGCCTGGAGCCCAAGCACTACTGCACAGCAATGGAGATACCAGCAATGAATGGGATCAGCTGTAAACCACCACCAAAAGCGTTGCTAAAGCCGACATGGAGAGCAGCGTCCTGGGCCAGGAGGGTCACCACACACACTTTGAGCAAGAGGAACCTGGGTGAACCCAGCGCACCTGGCAGGACTGTGGGCCAGGCCCTCCTGGGGATGGTACCATGGCACAGGAGCCTACCCAGGTGCTCATGGCTGGGAGAGGGCAGCAGCATGGCCAGGGTGCGGAGACGAAGCCTGGAGCAGACTCCAGGTGCTGCTCAGAAAAGCCCCAGTGACTAGTGAGCCCCCTCCCACCATCTCCAGTTTCCAGCCATGCTCCCCAACCACCTCCTGCCCAGCTGCAGAAGCACAGCGACCAGTGCCACTGCAGCTGGGAGCAGGGAGAACAAAGAAACCTCCACACTGCAAGCCTTCCCTCGGCAGAGAGGAGATCAGCAGAGAACAGAGACCAGCGCAGTGGCAGATCCGGGCAGGATCCAGCTCCCGGGTCCCTCTGTCTCCTCCTGCCAGCCAGGCAGGGGGAACGGGACCCTGTGCTGTGCATGCCCATCAGTTCCTGCCCCTGTCCTACCGCCCCCGCTCAAACAGCTCCCCCTTTCTCCACCCCACGGCCATCCCGCTGTGGCCTCCCCGGCCTCACTACCCATTGCACGTCATCAGCATCTTCCCCTCCTGGGCTAAGCAAGCAGGTACAGCCCAGGAGGGCCGGCGTCCATCCCAGCTGGGGAGCAGAACACAGACCTGCCCAGAGCTCACACTGTGGGCTCAGGACAGCGGGTGGCAGGGGCTGCATGCAGCTGCAGCCAGGTTTGTGCTGGTTAGTGTGCTGGGAGCGGGGAAGCGGCGTGTAGGAGCGGTGAGGCCAGGCAAAGCATTGGGAAGACACTCGGCAGCTCCAGAAGCGGTGGGGAAAGTGCAGGGGTGTGCAGGGTGCCAGGCAGGGAGCAGGGAGGGAAAGCTGCGTGGCACAGCCCTTACAACACAGAGGGGAAGGAGATGGCAACAACCTTACCTGCACCCCTCAAGCCTGAGCACGGAGGGCGAGAGAACCGGGGAGAGAAGCGACAACAGTTAGGAGCCGAACCTGCCTCCTCCTGGGGTGAACGGCTGGAGAAGGACAGGGTTTGTATTGTCCCCTGGGGCTCGCGCTGCCCTGCAGTCCCAGACACCCAGCTGGCACCTTTGCTGTCACCGAGGACGGCCTCCTCCAGCTCGGGGTGTGCTCCGACCCGAGGCACTCACCTAACGGCACGCCGTGCCCACTCCCCTGGCAGTGCACGCCGAGGACGGGGCCAGCGGAGCCGCAGCAAGGTGCTGTGGGTGCTGAGCTGCCGTGCCAGGCCTGACCCCAGCCTCCAGCCCGCTGAAACCAACATGCGGCCAGGGGAAGGTGGGGACCGAGGGAACAGCACAGCCCCAGGGCTGGGTGAGGGGCCTGGACCCTGCAGCCTGCTCCCAGCCCCCTCGCCAGCCCCCTCTCCTCTCCCCCAGGCTGTGGCATTTTCTTCTTCAACTTCCTTCTCCCAGCCCTCGAGCCCAGTTAAACGGGACTGGGACAGCACGAGAAGAGAGCGATACTGCTGGGGCTGCTTGTGCCCTTGGCAGGAGAG